TCTTTGTTCCTGCAGAACGTTGGCAGGGTCCACAACGTCCCGTCTTTGTTCCTGCAGAACGTTGACAGGGTCCACAACGTCCCGTCTTTGTTCCTGCAGAACGTTGGCAGGGTCCACGCTTCTGTTCATGGACGTGTTTTATTTCCTGAAAGCGTGAAGCAGACGCAGTAATTTGAGCCAGCGTTGCTCCTAAACGCGTCTTTTTGCTGCTGTGGGACACAAACTTTGTGAATATGGAAACAAGTATAAAGTCAACCTCACATGAATGTAGAAGAAACCGTTTTAGGTGGTTCACAGGATTCAGAACCTCCTTTTCTGCTGATCCACAAACAGGAAGTGACAAACAGGAAGTGATGTGGACTACAGGCCTTCAGCTCAGATTGTTCAGTTCCAGCTTTTAGGGTACTCGGTGATGATGGAGGCTCTTCAGGGTCTCAGGTGGATTTTGTCACCTGTTGGAGGAGCTTCGTGGTTTACTGAATGTTTGAAACGTTCTCATTAGATGTGATCGATGCAGAAGTTCTCCAGAGGAACCATCGGTTCTTCCTCAGGTGCATCGCAGGACTTTAGGGGGTTTTTGTGCAGAAATTTGAGCCAGTTTCTCAGATTTTACCAAAAATGTAACTCCATATTTCTCCACATCAACAACACTCACCATCTTCCACTCTTAAAGGGATAGTTCAGACATTTTCAAATACAATTCAGGGCTTGATGTTTGTCCGTAATGCTGAAGTCAGAATTTGCTGGCTGTTTAGTATTTTGTTATTTTTACCATTTTGAAACCAGACAAATGAAGTTTGTGCTCGTGTCTTTAAACGACCTCAGTTTGGAGAAATAATTTAGTTTTGAACAGTTTGAGCCGTCGGCTCGACTCATGGCCGTTGAAAACTAATAAACTTCACAAGAAGTTTACACAAATCCATTTATAACCTTTTCCCGCACCAGTTGTGCTTCAGGTATTTACACAAGACTCCGTGGTTATAAGTGCAAACAGCAGCAGCTAACTGTAGCATTTCCTGCTGGAAGATTTTAATGCAGATGGCAGCAGTGTTTGCATAAATTAAGATTAATTTTAAAGACGTAAAAACGATTAAGCCTAAAATTAGCTGTTAGCTTGTTTATAAACTCTCCAAACACAAGTAGTCGTCTACAACAGGTAAGATATTAACCATTTAATTTTCTAAGGAACCCCACTTCAAAATGTTTGAACTTTAACTCATGTTTCAGTTAAATATTTTTATTAAAACTTCCTGTTTTAGAAGGTTCTGAAAATCAGTTGTTTTTTTTTTAAACAAAACGAGTAAACTTTAAGAAAAACTAAATTCCAAACTCTGGTCCGTTACGTCATCCTGCTCATCTCCTGCAACTACAGAAGCCCAGAGGGGACACATCAGGTCAGATGGAGCTTGTTTGGTCGTGGAATTGTAAAAAAATTTCTTTGCATTAAAAAGTTTTTTTTAGAAAAATGCTTTAACTTCTTTGTCTGAAGTTTTTATTGGAACAGAAACCAGACTGAATGTACATTACGCTGTAAATGTTTTTTATACATCGATGTGTTTTGAATGTAAATGTGTGTGTATGCGTTTGAGTGTGTGTAAAATGTAAATTAAAAAATCTGCACTTTTCTTTTGTTGTTTGAGTGACGGACACAAAAAGACAAAAGTCACTGGAAAAAATAGTTTTTATTCAGCATTATTATAGAAAAGAAAAAACTCGATGCTCGGCCTCTGTTAACTCTGGAAGGAAAATAAATCTTTGGCATCAACAGCTTTGGGTGCGAGTTTAAAGCATCAAACAGGGAAGTTTCATGACGAGCCGACAGCAGGAGCTCAACCATCAGCCGAAGCTTCGGCTCCTCCCTGAACTGAGGTTCAGCTGACACAAAACAACACGCTGCATGATAACCGCTCCCTGCTGGTCGTTAGGGTCGTTACAAGACGAGGCACTTGAGGAATAAAGATTACATAACTGTTGCATCGGACAAAAAATAAACAGCCGTCAAGTATTTTCCATTTTGCTAAACTTTCCACTGGAGTATAAAAGAGTCCAGCTGCCGAACGACAGGACACGTGGAGCTGCTGCGATAAAAGCAAAGCGTGAAGTGATACAAGCTGAACTGAAGGTTCATGAAGGCACCAAGCTGAGCAGGAAAACAAAAAAAGAAGCTTGTGACCGGTTTTAAAGGCTCGATGGGGGCTGGGGGGGCTGACAGTCACAAGACTGCTGTTCTAATCTAAAAAAAAAACAGATGCAGCTGATGAGATTTCTGATCTGTTCTGATTTAAAGCACAAAAACATCATAAATACATCCTGGACATGAAACATCTGAGCATGATGAGTTGATTCTTCTGCAGCAGATTTATCTGAGCAGAGGACGATCAGACAAAATGATTGTTTTGCTGAAAATAATATTTTAAAGCACTTTGGAAACGTTTCAAACCTGAGCCTTTGCAGGATTGTCCTGTTGCATATAAACAGCCCGAAGCTGCGGTGAGAACGGACCTCAGGCCCGTTAACCTGTCGGGGTCAAACGAGAAATGCCGACTGGGATGGAAGCGCCGGTCAGCGGAGCCGAGTGCTCGGACAGAACCGAGTCCTGGAGAAGCGTTCAGCGCAGCGGACATGCAGGAAGCGGGAACATGAAAAACTCTGAGCCCTTCACCCAAACCTTGAAGCTAATCTAACCTGGGTACAAAACCATAATCATATTTATATAAAAATGAAGACAAACATCCTGACGGAGGGAAAGGACTCCTCTGTGGTGCGTTCAGGTGACGGTTGGCTGGTTACATGACGGAGCAGTTCTCCGGCTTCACTCGGCCCTGAGCAGGAAGCAGATCAGAGAAATTCAGGTCTTTGAGCAGTCAAGTCAAAAAGAAAGCTTTCGTTTGTTCCACCGTGCTGACGCACCTGTCGGGGCTCGTTGGTTCCCATGAAGTAGGACTGTCCCACGAGGCCTTCGGCCAACCCGCCGCTGCGATCCGACGACTGACCGCACGAGTCGCAGACGACGGTGCGGCTGCGCAGGTTGTACTCGGCGTGGTCGTCCGCTCCGCTCGTGCTGTGAGCTCCCTGCAGGGCGACACGATACAGGTTCGGCCCGGTTCTCAAGGCTTCGTGAAGCGAGTTCTGGTCAGAACCAAAGCTCCTAACAGAACCTGTCCAGCTGATTTCACTTCCTGTTATCTGCACGGAGCCTGCAGGACTCAGACCTACAGTCTGAGGAACAACTGGTTTCCCTCTAATTTAACTTGCAACCATTTGGGCGTGGCTGCGGTGGACGCAGGACGCGCTCGTCTGCACTTGGGGCTCCACGTGCACCTTTGTATGGTGGTCATGAGGTGTAAATGTAAATGAACATTTCAAAAAACAACACTTGAAAAAAACAGAATTACATTAAGCCAAAGCGGAAGTGGCCGGAATCACATTTGAAGAAATGTAATAAATAAACATAGTAAATAAATAACTACATAAAATAATACACTAAAAACAAACCCCACCACATCCGTTTTTTTCCAAATATAATTATTATTTTTTTTTTAATATACAATTCTGTTTTATCAAATGTTCATTTTCAGCTCACGGCCACCGAACCTTTGAGTTTGGACTCGACTCTCGCCCTCAAACAAAGATTTGGTCTCCCTGCTGGTTGAAACTCGAGTCCTGCTCCTCCAGCTGAGCTTCGTCAACACCTCCGTGCTCGTCCTCTCAGCTTTAGGGCCGATTTTAGAGGCTGGCGTTAAAAAACTGTTAATTTGGGTTTGATCTCCAGCTTTTGTTGATGACACTAAATGACCTCAATTTTTTTATCATCTGGTTAAAACAAACATTTTAGAGCAAATTTAACGTTAAAAAAAAGAACTTTTTGTTTCTACTTTTAATTTTGTTAAATTTATCTTAGTTTTGGGTAATCGATATAAAAAACATTTACACTGCGACCGTTTGTCCTAGACTGACCGCAGCGTGATTTAAAGTTAAATTAAATATTAAACATTAAGTTTCAAGTTAAAACCAGCAGGAGATAAAAACGAGGTTAAATTAACTTTTCTCTACTTTGAGCAGAGAAACTGACTTCCTGCAGAAACGTAAGAAAAGTGACAGAACTGTGGTTTTCAGAACGAGCAGAGAAAAGTCCCAGCGCTCACCTCTTCATCTTCATCATCCTGGAACAACGTGCGCGTCACTTTCCTCGAGGCCATTTCCTGGTGAGGAAATCAAACGTTTAGCTGCTGAAACTGAACGGAGGTGAAACGAGCTCAGCGGGCGGAGACGCACCTCTCCGTTGGCGTTGATGAGGGTGGTCTGCAGTAGGTCACCGGACCCCCAGGAGCTCTGGCTCTTCCACACCAGGTCAGTGGGGGGCTTGTGGCTTCCTCCCCCAGAGGCAGCCCAGACCTGTGAAGAGTTTGAGACGGACGCTTTAATCATACGAGCACCATGCGACCCGTTTCTCGTCTTGTCGGCAGCGGCGGTGAACGTACGGTCACGCTGGCTCCGGCCTTCAGGGTGAACTTGTGGGGGAACTTGTAGACGATGGGGGCGCCGCTCCCCACCTGTCGCTTCAGCTGCCAGTTGCTCAGAGACTGATCCTGGAGGACGGGGAGGAAAACGGAAACAAACGATTGAAACCAACTTTGTTCCAACGGGAGGAGACATCCATGGCTCCACGTCTGACCTTAAGTCCAACTTTAGGTTAATTTTATCATTTAAGTCACTCTGCACCCTTTTGGGTTTTAAAAGGAGTTTGCTACAGATCGTACCTAGCTCCACCCGTTTTGTACCCGGAGTTTTATCACCTTAGGCATGGTTAAATCTGGGCCTTCAGGCCTTTAACCCTGGATGTTTTCAGAATAACCATATTTCAAGACAAGACATTATTTAATGCAGTTCTGTTCAAACCAGGCATAAAGCTCCAGAAATATTTAAAATATTTTCTTGAAAAACACATCAAGGCTTTGTTGCGCTTCCTCTGCATTTGATACAAGCAGCAACCGGGTACGAAAAGGTGGTACAAGTTGGCCGAGACCCATTTAAACTAAATGTTTGTATAAAAAGTTAATGAATATTAATCAGAAAGAAGGATCAGAGCGTTGTGAGATTAACAAATTAGTTGTTAAGATGAAATATGGAGTTTGAGGCTCCGTCTGAATCCGGCCGTTGCCGTGGTAACTGATGCTGATCTCTGCTCGGGATCAGTTTAACGCTCTGATTTGTGATTTGACTGATTGTTCTGATAAAATCCCAGATAGTAAAAATTAAAAATACAACATTAATATGGACGCAGCACATTTAAAGGTCTCGATGCTGGCACGGAGTTTAATCATTTTTCATCTTTTAACGTTTTACAGCGTTTTGATCCATAGTGAATTTAAATTTCAAACTAAAATAAAACTATGTTCGTATATTCTAACCAAATTGTAAGAACTGCTGATATTTGGTTGAAGAATTTAAAAACATATCTACTTTGTGCAGTGAATTTTCTCTGAATGGTTTTGATTTTGTTCATTTAAACATCGTTAGGAGTTTCAACCCAGAAGATGACGTCATAATTTAACAGCAGCACTAGTTTCCTTCCTGCAGGGATTGTTACGTCCTTCTTGCAGCCTCCTGGCGAGGTCCATAAATCTGGTACCTCGTCAGCCTTGTTGCTCAGGCGGATGAACTTCCCCTCCAGGTCCACCTCGTCCACGGTGATGCGCCCGCTGGCCGAGGCGTGCTGACTGATGCGGGCCTTGGTCACGGTGCCGCCCACCATGCTGGAGGTCTCGCTGTCGTTGTCGTTCAGGCGCCGCTTCTTGGAGCTGCTGGCGCCGGAGGAGTTGCGGCTGCTGGAGGCCACGGCGGAGGAGTGGTGCAGGCGGCTGGAGCCGGACGAGCGGGCCACGGTCACCTTCGTGAAGGAGGGGCTGGGGGACAGACGCAGCCTGGGGGGGGGGGGGTAGACAAGGTCAGTAAATGTTTTGTTAACCCCTCATCAGCTGATCTGCTCCAACCTTTGCAGACGTTTTTGTGCCAAATCAGAAACGCCAGAGGAGGAAATCATCTAAATGATTTACAGAAACAACAAACAGGAGCAGAACCGGATTATTTTTGTTAGAAAGCTAAATATCAAACTCCTGGCAAGACTGCTGCATCATGGGAGCTGTAGTTTTGTTACATTGTAAAAAAAAAAAAACCCTGCAGAAATCATCAGGCAGAGCTGCAGACACAGAACCTGTGAGTTCTGACGACGCACACACACACAAAAAAAAAATTTGATGGAAGAAGAGATGAATGTACAAATTTAAGATGAGACTAAATGTAATTAAGACTTAAAAAGGTAAATCTGGACATAAATATGACTTTTTAAGGCCTAAGATTGAGATTACTGAACCCTGAAAGACTCCAGTTTGTGTTTGGGTCCGTCTGGTTCTTGTTTCAGCTCCACCTGAGCTCGACTTCACTGAATCTGTTACTGGAACACGTTTAGGTCTCCAGGACGTCTCGTCCCGTCCTCATGCAGCAGTGTGATGTTATTACACTAGATTGTGAAATGGGAAGTTTATTGTGGTAGGAACTTATGAGCACCGGCTGCTTTTATTTTGAAAAGACGACAGATCCACTGCAGAACAGCGGGTAACTTCAGGCTTTGAAATTATGATTTTATTTGCAGTTAATGTGTTCTTATGACCGTAGTTGTGAATTATTACTTTTACAGATAACCATATTAGGCTCAGATTGTTATTTTGGGTTTCAGTTTGGCGTTTAAACAGATAAGTTGAACGGATCATACCATTATGGTGGGTAAATTGGTTTTTCCCTCTACCAGACGGTCTCTTATTTTGGATTCTGTGGGAGGAGGTATGAAGTTTTTCTGCTGTGCTTAATAAAAGTGTTTTTTAAACGTAGTAAGTGATAGTTCAGTCACCGTTATTGTAAAATACCGTGTTACGGAGCAGTTTTGTTAAAGACTGTATTAGCAGACATTAAGCAGTTCCTATGCTACTTGAAACACTGTTAATGAAGTGACTATGTCCATGTACTGAAAATAGTATTGTTGCTGGTTAAACAGGCGCTGTGGAACTCTGATGAGAAAAAAACAGTTTCTGAAACTATTTTCTGTTGCTTTAATGCAGGAGCATCACAAGTGCCTTCAAATCAGCTGTAGTCCCCACAAGACGCAGCACAGAATCAACTACGCTCCACTCACCTCTCCTCCTCTCCCTCCAGCAGCTTCCTGTAAGCGTGAATCTCCATGTCCAGGGCCAGCTTGATGTCCAGCAGCTCCTGGTACTCGTCCAGCTGCTGCTGCATCCGGGCTCGGATCTCCGCCATCTCTCGGTCTTTGTCCTCCAGACGTCGCCTCATCAGGTCGCGCTCTCGCGTCAGGGTCTCCTCCAGCTCGCGCACCTTAGCCTCACTTGCCGTCAGCTGACACACACACAGGAAGTTACGGTGAAAAACCAGGCTGGCTGATGTTCTAGGAGCTCCAGACCGATGCAAGTACCTGTTTCTGCAGATGGCTCAGCTGGGACGTCATGCCCTCCAGACGAACCCGGGTCTGCTGCAGCTCCTCGTGAGCAGCTCCGACCATGTTGCTGTTCCTCTCAGCTGAGTGACGGGCGTTTTCCAGCTGAAACACGGACACAATCAGCTGAACGAGACGATAAACCAGCTGCAAACTTTACAGCCTTGTTGTGTTCAGTCCTGTTGTTATTTGGACTTTAGAGGTTCTGGCTGAACCAAGTTGTCTTTTGGGTTCAGCTTAAAGGAGAATAAATCAATCTTTTGTTTAATTTGACCAGGAAGCTGCTCACAAAGTTGTTCAGTGACAGAGTTTGTCCTCCAGGTGGCGACAGAGCTGCAGCTGATGGACTCACCTTGGAGTTGTAGGTCTTCTCCAGCTCCTCCTTGTAGATGTGGACCTGCTCCTCGTGCTGCGCCCTCAGCTCGGCCAGAGCCACGGCCAGTTTGCTCTCAAACTCCTGCTGCCGGCCGCTGTCGATCTCCACCATGCGAGACTCGTGGCGACGCTTGGACTCGCGCAGCTCCTGCAGGATGAACGTCCACCTTCAGTTAATTAGAACAAAGTCTCCGCCTGCAGAGAGCGGCGTCACTCAGCAGATCGATCAGCGATCACTCCGTCAGAGAGCAGAAATTACTGCTGCAGACAAATCGATCCACAGCTCCTCGGAACACTTGAACCTGAATCTTTTTTCCACTTTTGACTCGTCTGCAGCCGAAAGCAAAAATAACCATCATGACAGAAAATAATTATTTTATGTTGAGAAATATTTGAGTCAAATCTACAAAATAATGGAAGATCTTGTGCAATCTGTTAGAAAACCTCAGCTGTACGTTGTGGACGACCCTCAGCTACTACCACACCACACTGTAGCTCATTATCATAGAAACTGACTGAGTTATGGACGTTTTGTGTTTTTTACATTCAGTTAACCAGAGCACAGCCGGCGTTCGAGACTCGCCTTTCATCGACCGGCAGTAAAAATCAGATCTTATTGCAGGATGAAATTATATTTGAGAATTTCTAAGTTCTGCAGAGTGTTCACGGAGCGGCTCGGAGTTATTAAAGCAGAATTTAAGGAGAGGCGAGATGTAAAATGTGCAGCAGAACATCTGGAGGGGAGATGCAAAACAAGCAGGTAGGAGTTTGGACGCGAATCAAAATCCTGCAGAGAAGAAGAAAAGCTGGGCGGGCGGGTAAAAATAGAAGAGCACAAACCTCAGCAGAGATGTTCTTCTGGAACTCCAGCTCCTCCTTCAGGGTCTGCAGGCGGTTCTCGGCGTCCACTCTCCTCAGCATCTCGTCCTGCAGCTGCTTCTTCACGTCGGCCAAGCTGATGTCCAGCTGGGAGACGAGAGGAGGACACTCGATGAGAAAACTGGACCCGTTAGAAGGAAACCTGCAGCTGCTGCGTCTGAGCAGCAGGTGGAGCTGAGCCACAGCTCAGAGCTTCATTGATCCAACCAGCAGAGGCTGCAGTCCAGCGCCACCTCATCACAACCAGCAGGGTTCACAGGAAGTGACCTCCTCCATGGAGGAGCTCTGCATGAAGGAGAATCACGTCCCGTCAACAGGTGATCACAGAGAGCCTGAGCTGTGGGCGTTAAAGTGTGGCGTCAACATCTTCCTGCACGCTTCCCAACCCCCCAGGGACAACACAAACATCCTGAGGTCCGCGGTTCTGGATGAGCTCCGAGGCGGAGAACACAAAAACCACCTGAGGTTCCGTTACCTTGGCCAGCTGGGCCTTCAGCTCCTTCACCTCGGCCTCCAGACCCCTCTTCTCCCCCAGGGTGGTGGTGAAGGCGGCGTCTTTGGAGTTCAGCATGGCCTCCAGGTCCCGGAGCCGGACCAGCGCCGCCTCCAGGTCCGACACCTTCTTAGCGTTCCTGCGGAGACGAGGACGACAGGATTCAGGAGTTGGGACGATCAACGCTGCCGATACGTCTGGAAGTTTCTGACGTTCAAACGTTTGTTGAACGGTGTTTCGAAACGTGTTGGAGAAAATATTTAACAGCTTGTTGCTAAGCAACCAAGATGTTAAATGATTTTTATGAGTCTGTCTTAATCAGATGATTTAAAGTCGTCATGGTTTGGGAAAACTCAAACGAACGTTTGGGTCTCATTTAACAAGCGTCACTTTTACACGAGGGTTTATTTTAATGTTTAAATAAAATGGTGAATAGTTAAAGTATAGGAATTTTATGGTACATAAAACAAATTAAAAGTCCAAGCAGTGATGGACGAAAGAAATAAGTTTACCTGCAGAAAACAAAACATTCATATCAAGATTAAAAGGAAATAAATTTGTACTCTCAGCTGATAACATTAAAGTCAGTCGTTTAAAGACGTTACCGAGTTTATTAAATATATTATTGTTGAAAAATACACAAATGAATACAAGCCCATAAAACAAATCACAACAGAACAAAACGATGTGTCGAGAACAAACGCGTGCACGTTTTTATCAAACTAACAAGTTTCACTTCAGCTGGATTTTAAAAAGGTTCAAAGTCCAGAGGAAAAATTAAATAAAACTTAAAAACTGCAAAGATGAAACCACAGAGAAACAAAAAGTCCCGACTTTAAAATAAACTGTTCCAACAGTATTTAGTGAAAAACAAACAAACGTCACCTGCTGCTATGAAAACCAAGCAGTCGTGCAACTGCCTGTGTCTGTTAGCAAAATATCTCATGAACCCTGCACAGATTTTATTGAAACTCATTAGATGTCCCTCTACAAGATGGCCGCCACAGCTGATGGACCTTAGCCAACGCTAACAAGTTTATAACGGTCAGGTACAGACACCGAGCTGAAATGTGTTGAGGTAGTAGCTGAGAGTCATCCATGACGCACGCTCTGAGAGCTGCATCTGTCAACACTGTGATGTTTACAGTCACGGGTTTTATACATAAACAAACAAACAAAGTAAACAAGTGGAACGCTGATGACCTCGTTCGTCTCTGACGGGTTTGAACAGTGAATGCAGTTTTGGAGACGAGTGTTTTTCTGGACTGGAATTGAACAGAGAATGAAACAAACCTAAATGTTTTTGGTGCAACATGTTCAAGTTACACTGTGGAGAAGGACAGAGGGAGGTTATTGATTGATTGATTGATTGATTGATTGAGGTGGCACAGCGATGCATCCTGGCGTGTGGAAGGAGCAACTTCAGCCATGTTTGTTTGACCTGCACTCACAGATGGAGGTTGGTTCGTCACCTACTGTTCAAGTGTTCGTGCTCCAACATGAGCAGAGCTGCTTCCAGTCTCCGCTCGGGGACGGATGAAAGGATGTCAACAAACGTCCCAACATTGGATTTTATAAAAACATCGGTTTTAGTTTTTGTTTCTGCGTCTCCTTGAAGTCTTTTCTCGTTGGATTTCATCAACGTAACTCCCTAAAACACTTGGCAGTCGTGGCCAGATGTTCCGTCACTTTTCCTTTAATAAAACGAGCCGACGGATTTCTGAGTGGAGCATGAAGCGGCAGAAAGTGAAACGCTGAGTCACCGTTAACCCGACGCTCGGCGCTGAACAAAGGCCCGCTGAGGTCCATCTCAGAGGAAGCAGAGTTGAATTAAAGGAACTCACGTTTGTTGCGCATGTGCTCGTGCGCACCGCCCCTCCAACCACTACAGGAACCGATTTAAAGAGCTGCTTGCAGAAAGAAGCAGAGGAGGAGACGGGTCAGAATCGGGCCAGTCGTTGTAAATCTGTTCAAATGAATCGTTTCACTTGTTTCCAAATGGGCTTCTGTGGAGAAGTTATGAACAGGCAACATTTTACCTGTTGCAGATAACTAACCCTGCATGGTCCTTTAACTCATGACCATTCATGTTCGTTACTGGGAGAAACATTAATCACATTATTGTCCTGCCTAAAAATACTTTTTTAAATATTTTCTACAATAAACTCAACATTTTAGAGACATCTCAGCCTGAACAGGTTTATTTTTTATTTTAACATTTTAAGGGTTTTTAGTTTAAAAATTATTTACATTATTTTTAATACGCGCACCAAAATATTTATTTTATGTAAATTTTTGAATAAAATAAAATAAAAATCAAAGTTTGACAGTTTTTTTTGTTCCAGTCTGGAGTTTTGTGAAGACCCTGCAGCTCACCGGGTCCTTCAGATCCAGCAGCTGAAAATGAGACCTGGTCTTCGGTCAGACTCGTCTCAATGGACGGACTTGGAGTTCTTTTTTTATTTTTATTTTTAAACTCTTTGTTTTTTTTTACTCTAACCACGAACGGGGGTAAGTTAAGGACAGTCGGCCGTTCTGAGCCGTGGAGGCCCGATGCTGCAGCCTGCGCGCACGTGAAGCAGCTTCAGACTAAATGTTCACTTGTGCACATTAAAGGAGAGTTTTTGCTTTTTACATCCAAACTGAAGCGAATTAAATGTTACGATACTGTAAATATAATATCTAATAACTTGTAGTTTATTTTATTATGGCTGATTTTTCGCTGAGGGTGTCGTAAAATTACTGTGAAGTCATGAGAGCATCCCGTTTACCGACTGCGTGTAAAATAAATAAAATTTTAAAAAAATGGACAAAATAAATGTAAAAGACAAAACAAGGGTTAAGAACGACCTCTGAAGAAATGAGAGTAAAACGCTGCAGTTTTTTAAAAAATGTTTGAAAAGGCTTTAATTTTTTTAATCTTGTTGCCGTTCCGTTTAATTCATGTTTACGCTGCCGTCAATTGGAGTTATATTTACAGACGTCAGCGTGGGGGTCATCGTTCATTCCATCGTGGATATGAACAATCCTGAACCAGTTTTCGTTAAACTACGTTGTCACTTTAAGTCCAAGCCTCCAAAAGCTTACGATGACCGACTACTCTGACAAATTGTTCTGTAAATTTGATTAAACTTTTAAACTCCTGTGACGGAGCGAGGCCCCGAGACTCAGACTTTTTTAATTCTCACTTTGTCACCGACAGTCTCCGCCTGGTGGGCTATAAACAATAATTAAGTTACGAACCACAAAGAGTAACGGCATCGAGACATAATCCTGCAGATCACCGTCTCCACCTGTTGGCTGCTTTTATCTCCACTTGGAGGGAAAACGTGTTTCTCTGCAGCTGAAACTAAAATAAAGACCTCCAGAACCGTTAACCTGCGTTTGTTGAACCCGTTCATTATTACGAGGAAACCTTGGTGCAATACGACCGGCAGCTGCAGAAAGCCTTGCTCAAAGGCACAGCAGCTGCTGGATTTGTGCGAGACTTTAAACAAATGCGAACGCAGGAGGAGGAGGAACGGTGAGCGAGAGGAAGGAGAAACGTTTTGTTCAGGTTATCGTTTGACGTGCAGGAGAACGTTCCTCCTGATGGTCCAGGTGTAAAAACACGGAGTGGAAATACTCTGAAACATTCCTTGAATTCCACAGTGAAGACGAGGCGGTTTGACGACACGCCCAGCAGGCAGGTAACCAGCCGGAGGCCGTTTCACTGACTGAAGTGAAGAACTTCTCCACCAGCGGCTCGGCCCAACTCGGTGTTAGAACTCGTCTGCCGATCGTTTGAACGTCGCCACGATGCTCGTTAACGAGCCGTGAACTTGTTGCAGCCATTTATTAAAGTGTGGATCCACGTCGCTGTGAGATGAACACGACCTGAAGGAGCCTGAACGGTCCCATCGTGCAGCGGTCGTGACGTTCGCTGGACCCGACGACTTCCTGCCGAGCATCAACGGCCGACACGCTGCTCTGATCCAGAAAAAAGGTCATAAAATAAAAAGTGGATCTAAAACAACGTTTTTACTTCACATTATAAAACGGTCTCCGACCTTCTTAAAGTCCACTTGATGTTCATTTTCACGTATTGTTCTTCACGTTTAGGTTTTCATATTTGGATGAACGGCTCAGAACGGTTCAATCTGCTCATAAACGAAGAAATGTTCGTTTTAGAGAACAGAGCTTTGAAGGAATCGATGTCGGGAGTTATTTTTATTTACGCGGTTGATTCTTCCCGTTTTTAAATGAGCTTCGTCAATAAAATTGATCAAAACAACCAACGAATGAGATGATCACCCGTCTCCAGAACTATTAAAGCTCTGATTCATCGCACGCTCGACTCCCTCAGCTGAAAACTAAAGAATCACTTCCACAAATCTTATCCGGTAAAATCAGCCGGAGAGCGAGAAGCTTGTTAAAGTGTCTGAACACGGAGTTTCAAAGGAAGGAGCAGAAGTTTTAAAACCTTCAGGCTGGCTTCAAGAAAAACAAAGAGTTGGACTGAGCTCAACAACGAGCAACAGGAGGAGCAAACGAGAGAATCGTCGGCCGTTAACAGAATTACGCGTTGTGTGGTTGAATCACTGCTTCTGGAGGAGTTCATCAAGGATTCAAACAACTGATATCTGTGGCGCAGCCGCAAGATGAAGGAGGATGAAGTGAAGGAGCAACAAAAAGAGACGAGACGAAGGGGAGTGAGACATCTGAGGAGGAGGAGGAGGAGGAGGAGGAGGAGCTTTGGCTGGGCTCCCGGCCTGCAGGCTGACTCACAGCTATCTTTGTCCGTCCCAGAAACAAGAAACGAACTCCGCCTCACGAGTGGAAAAAAAGAAGCCCACTCCATCCTCCCCTGTTTGGCTGTGATGTTACCATGGTAACCAAGCTTGCATGTTTCCACAGCACTGTGGATGCTGTGGAAACAAAACCTGAGTTTTTTTTGTTTTTTTTTTCTCAACCAGAAAGAAAACATTGTATTCCAGGAACATATTGCACGTTAAAGCAGCTACACGGCTACAGGAAGAGAAGGAGCAAGAAAAATATTTTTATTCTACTTTCTATTCCAGATGACCCGACTGAAAAATGTTGGATTTTATACCTGGATTATTGAGCATGGACTTTGTTGTTTTTATTCTATGTTTTACA